TTTCCCTATACATCCTAGATAGATAAGCATTTGTCTCTAATAAAATATATATAAACTGTCATATCTGTAAGCATTTTGAGAAACTGTTTTCACTTTCTTTTATCTCCAACATCTACCAGAGTACCTGGCAAGGACAGTATTTTTAGGTTTTTTTGGATGACTTGAATAATATATATATATTTTTTCTATACAGCAGGTTCTTATTAGTCATCCATTTTATACACATGTCAATCCCAATCGCCCAATTCATCACACCACCATCCCCACCCCCCGCCGCTTTCCCCGCTTGGTGTCCATACATTTGTTCGCTATATCTGTGTCTCAATTTCTTCCCTGCAAACAAGTTCATCTGTACCATTTTTCTAGGTTCCACATATATGCGTTAATATACGATATTTGTTTTTCTCTTCTGACTTACTTCAGTCTGCATGACAGTCTGTAGATCCAACCACGTCTCAACAAATGACCCAATTTCGTTCCTATTTATGGCTGAGTAATATTCCATTGTATATATGTACCACATCTTCTTTATCCATTTGTCTGTCAATGGGCATTTAGGTTGATTCCATGACCTGGCTATTGTAAATAGTGCTGCAATGAACATTGGGGCGCATCTGTCTTTTGAATTATGGTTTTCTCTGGGTTTATGCCCAGTAGTGGGATTGCTGGATCATATGGTAATTCTATTTTTGGTTTTTTTAATGAACCTCCATACTGTTCTCCATAGTGGCTGTATCAATTTATATTCCCACCAACAGTGCAAGAGGGTTCCCCTTTCTCCACACCTTCTCCAGCATTTGCTGTTTGTAGCTTTTCTGATGATACCCATTCTAACTGGTGTGAGATGATACCTCATTGTAGTTTTGATTTGCATTTCTCTAATAATTAGTGATGTTGAGCAGCTTTTCACGTGCTTCTTGGCCATCTGTATGTCTTCTTTGGAGAAATGTTTATTTAGATCTTCTGCCCATTTTTGGATTGGGTTGTTTGCTTTTTTAATATTGAGCTGCATTAGCTGTTTATATATTTTAGAGATCAATCCTTTGTCCATTGATTCATTTGCAAATATTTTCTCCCATTCTGAGGGTTGCCTTTTCATCTTGTTTATGGTTTCCTTAGCTGCACAAAAGCTTTTAAGTTTCATTAGGTCCCATTTGTTTTTATTTCCATTACTCTAGGAGGTGGATCAAAAAAGATCTTGCTGTGATTTATGTAAAAGAGTGTTTTTCCTATGTTTTCCTCTAAGAGTTTTATAGTGTCTGGTCTTATATATAGGTCTCTAATCCATTTTGAGTTTATTTTTGTGTATAGTGTTAGGGAGTGTTTTAATTTCATTCTTTTACATGTAGCTGTCCAGTTTTCCCAGCACTACTTATTGAAGAGACTGTCTTTTCTCCATTGTATATCCTTGCCTCCTTTGTCATAGATTAGTTGACCACAGGTGTGTGGGTTTATCTCCGGGCTTTCTATCTTGTTCCATTGATCTATGTTTCTGTTTTTCTGCCAGTACCATATTGTCTTGATTATTGTAGCTTTATAGTATAGTCTGAAGTCAGGGAGTCTGATTCCCCCAACTCTGTTTTTTTCCCTCAAGATTGCTTTGGCTCTTCAGGGTCTTTTTTAAGGACAGTTTTTTTTTTAAGAGACAAATTTTTTTTGAACCAAATTATCAGATTATAAATTTCAGGAATATACTTAGATGTTTCTCACAGTTGTAAAAGTGGTTTTACATATAAGAACATCACAACTAATTAAAAATAAATTTGGAAAAATTCACAAAATTAAATAAATTATGAAATCCCATATATGCTAAATCAAAGAATTCCAAAGATATATAATATATTATACATGTGCACCATGTTTCAGAATCTGGGTATGGTACATATACATCCCAGGATTTTATTTCAGGTCTAAATATGTGTAAGTGATATCTTCTTTTACTGAAATGCAAGTTCATAAATATTCACTGAATGACTAACATGGGTTCAGTGTGTCTCTTCCTAACATGTGTAAAACAATGTTATATTAAATTGTAATTTTCAAAGGAACATGGATCCTCCCTGTGGATTCATGAAAAAGCATTTATCTGAGTTGAGGTATATGCTAATTTCAAGAATGAGTCAGACTATCTATCAGAGAACATTATATAGGATAAACTGACTACAATTAAAAACAAGAAGTGCTAGAGAACAGTCACATTGACTAACAAAATTTGAGACTGTGATGAAATAGATCAGTGATCAACAGATTTGGGGTACTAATATAAGTCCTTTAAAACAGATTACTTCATTTGAGGCCTACGATGGATTTTGTGGTAGATAAAATAATAATTCCCATTTTTGCCAATGGGAGAAAGAGATGCTTAGAGAGATCAAGTGTCATGCCATAGTCATAACACTAGGAAACAATAGTTAGGATTTGCTCTATACCATCCCTCTCTAGAACTCATTCTTTCCTTAAACTATAAAATATTTTCTACAACAAGGAGTATCAATAAAACAATTTTTAAATTCAAAAATTGGAATATATTACACCTAAACAGGTAGATAAATATCAGAAAAAAAATCCTGGACTATTAGAATTCAGGGACCTGAGCCCTTGTCTCTGCTCTGGACAAATTAGCTACGCTTTACAGGCAACTCACTTTATCTTTACGTGCCTCAGTTTGTCAATTTGTATATCAAGAGGCTGGAGATGATGCACTTAAAATCTTCTCATTCTCACTCAATATTTGCAAATTTCCTGCTGCATTATTGGTTGTTTTCTGCTGTATCTGATTCTGCCGCAATTTTCTCTTCCACTCCCAGTACACCGTGATATTTACATCAATAGGATAAAGTTAAGTCACTCATCGTGCTAAATTGGATTTGTAACTATTACTTCTTGACATGAAGATAACTTGATGATCCAAGACTGTACCTAAGAAGACAGAGATAAACATATTAATTTAGATTTGTGATGTTGAATTTTAGTAAACTCAGGTGCTAAGATTAAGGTCGGTGAGATAATAATCTCTTTGGGTTTGTAATTCTATAAAATGAAAATTTCTAAATATTTTAAACTATAGTTTTTTATCACACAGTATAAAAACGTTTAAATTTCCTAGGTAATTTTTTACATATGATACTAAACAATACTAAAATTAAAATATGACACTAAATTTTAGCAATGAATCAAAAATTAAGTTAAATAAATGAATTAGAAATCTTTTGTAGTCTGCAATTTGGGAAAAGAAAATATGCTTTCTAATAAATGAATTAGAAATCTTTTGTAGTCTGCAATTTGGGAAAAGAAAATATGCAAAATATTGCTTTACAAGCAATTTATTCTCTTAAGAAGGTATTCCAAATGTTGGTGGGAACATAGGCAGTATTTACATTGATGAATAGAAGTTATTACAGCTTCATTTATGGGATACACCTTATTTACTCATTCTTTGACCCCAGGCTACTCCCATCCCTCTTTCAGACATCTTAGCTGAATACATATCTATAAATTTTATGGAATGAATTTATTTAATATATTCAGCTGGGTCTCTTCTTTCTGACTCATGTAGGGAGACAGCCTGGCCAGCCACTCCAAAAATGCTTGAGACTTACATGAGGCCTGCAGACATCACTATCCACCACAGGGCATGGGAGCTGCAGGCTTGTTTCTTGTTACTTGCCATCAGCCATGCCCACCACATATGTGCACCAATCCAGAATACTCAAGCTCGTTCTCTTGTTGCTGCAACATCAGAGCTGTCCGTCTTCTCAGGCACACACTTCTGCGATCAAGAAAAAAGAATTGACTTGCTTCTAGGTCTCAACTGAATATGTGTGAGACTAAAGTGTCCCAGATCATTAAGGAAATTGACCTGATGAAACCAACCAAACCTCACCTAACTGTAATACCCTGCATGTGTCATCTCCTTCTAACCTCTTGTACTCTTATCCCCAAAAGAATCTGTGTTGTTTTCCCCTTCATCCATAACCATTCTCAGATAGGCCCATGCTGTATGTCTCCCTGAACTGTTCTGGATTAAAAAAAAAAAAAAATGGAGAAGGCATTACATTGTGTTGGGATATTTGGCTGACTTTCATCTAGAGAAAACTGTAAATTTAAATCCCTACCCTAAAATATTCACAAAATAAAAATGAATTTCAGTTAAATTAAAGATTCAAATATTTGTTTAAAAACCTATATAACATTAACTGCAGAACTGAGGGATATAATCATAATTTTGAGGTATGTGATTGGAGGTCATATCAAATAACACTCCAAATGCAGACTCTAAGAAACAAGACAGATACATTAGCTCGTGTTAAAATAAAAATATCTATACAACAATATATATTATAAAGCAATGTAAAAGATAAATTAAAAGGACACACACCCGCATATTCATTAGTTTGGTGTTCAGTGGTATCACTAAAGGTATTGATGAGAAATTTTAAAATTCACTTCTGAAATTTAAAAAGAATCTTATAAAAATATTGCTGTGACATTTATTGCTTTGTGCATGCATTATATCCAACATAGTAACTAGGAAAAAATTAAGGGAATTTACATAAAGGTTGAATTACTATTATTTTTAATGTATCATTTTTTGGTTGTTATTTAGATTTCTTGGCAGCTTTCCCTGCTACGTGGTTAAATCTCTATTCGTGAGTCACTGATACATGGGAAAGACAAGTACTATTTCATTTAACTTCACAAGTAGTCTGTGCCTTTGTCTCTCTCTTGAATCCTTTAAAATGTCCCAGGCCCTGTTATGTTCTTCTGTTTTGTCAGTTTGTACTATTCTTCTGCTAGCCTTCCCAATATGTATCTACCACCCACTCCTGCCACAGACACCAAAACACCTTGGTAAGTTGAAGAGATGATGAGTTTTGTTCCCTGTTTTTCCTTTGGAGCCAGAAAAAATAAATCTACAAGTTGCCTCCCTGGGAGAGGACAACACATTCCCCTAACTAAGGGCTAAGAGGAGAAGCAGGAGAGTGTAGCGGTGGAAAGTGGCACAGAGGAAGGAACAAAGAACAGGGACGAGGGCTAGAGGGTTTTCTGGCACCTGTGAGAGGAAAGGAAGTAGAGGAATTGAACTCTATGCCTGGAGGCTACTCCCACTTCCTTTCTGCTCAGCGAAACATTGCTCATCCTTTAAATCTCAATTCAATTGTTACCTCCTCTGTGAAGTCTTTCCTGATTGGTTCAGGAGTGATTAAACACTGTTTCTGTTTCATTTTACACAAACTTCTATAAAGGCAAATATCTTGCTGTTTTGTGTTACTAGCATAAAGAAATGTGATTTTCTTAAAATTTTCTTAAATTGATTTTCTTAAAATGATTTTCTTAAAATGATTCAGTCAGAGAGAGTGCTGACATAGGTTGCTGGAGTTATGGCCTGAGATGCTCTTAAATTGAAGAAATGTTTCTCAAGGAAGATAGCAGCCAGGTTACCTTTTAATTTTGTTGTCTGGGGTATGCAAGTTGAGGGCCAGTACCAAATTGCCTGATGCCATAAAGGAGGAGGAAGGGAGTAAGTGGGGTCAGTAGACAAAGAAAAATAGATAATGAGTCTAGAAAATAAAATAGAACTCTGATTTTAAAGAAGTGATTCCAGATATAGAAAAAGAAAATGCATTACATACAGAAGTACTTCCAAAATTGCAATAGTTGTGGTGATGGTAGTGAAAGAGTTGATACATGACAATGTGTTGGGTCCAGCCTCAAGGTAGCCATGGGTGAGATCCTAGCTTCCCGCATGGGCTCTACTTGTTTATTTACAAACTATCCTCCTCTGAAGGTAAGCCAATCAAGTTAAGAATATTTGCTTTTTCATCTTGACATTTCCAGTAGCTCACATAGTATGCATGCTATCTGTTTAATAAATAGTGGTTGGAAGAATAAAAAGGAAGAGACCAAATTGTGCCTAAGCACAGAGTGAGAAATTGAGTGAGTTGGTCTGACCTATCCATGCTGGTACTAGTGCAGCCACTAGATAAGTCAGTGATTTTGTATATGTGTCCTGTTGCCTGGGCCAAGGGACAGCTTCTAGCAGCTAAGTCTTCATTTTCCTTGATCAGTAACACTAGGAAAAAAAAAAAAAGTATGTCGTTATTGCCTGAGGCTATAGGACAGCTCACAATTTTCTCCAGTCCTTTCACCAAATCTTTATCACCCAATACCAAATACATACACCCAAGCATTTCCCTCTATCATCTGTCTTGGCACACCTATTTGGGGAAATCTAGGGCAAAATTCCCATCATACCTGTGCCTAAGGAAAGTCTATATTCTCTAGAATAAAAAAAATAGGAAGTCTGTCCTCTGTGTGTGTTATGCAACTGATCTGTGGTGTCAGTACTCCAAAATCTGGTGCTAATAATTAGAAGGTTTTGTCGTTCTTATCATTAAGAAACTCAAAATAATGGTTACGTATTACAACAAAATTTTAAAAGTTAAGTTCAGGTTCTGAATATAATAAGCCTTGGAAACTTTTACTCTGAAATCACACTGGCCTATTAAAAAAGAAATATACACTCCATGTGTATACCTCAAAGCATCACTGTTTGGATAAAACTGAGGGAAAATTTTGTTTAAGATAGACTAATACATAGATACTAAAAAATGAAACAATTCTAATGAAAATAAAAACCTTAGATAAGGTTTATTATGTTAGTTACTTCAGATGTTAGACTAGGAGAACATAGAATTTCCTTTCCATTTCTTGCAAAGTGAACCAATTATTTTTAGCCTGTCTGAAGTAGGGAAATGGGAAAACTATTGCTTAATTTTAATAGAAGAAAAAAATAGTCAATATTTTAGGGCTATCCAATAGAAAATGAGAATGAATTTCAAATGTGTTTTAGCTAGGCCAATTACATATATCTGTGGTTTTTCATACTATCTAGTAGGTTATCATGCTCGCATAGTTAAAATGCCAGAGGAATGCACTTAACTGCAGAATGCAGATCAAAGAAAAATATTGTTTATATAGTGGGAGGTAAGATAGTTCCTGTAAGTGGAAAGCCTCAAGATATCTTTCAACTAGCCAGTGTCAACAGATTTCTTAAATTTTAATATTCTTAGTCTGTTCATACATGTTTTATTCCAAATTATTCAAGTTCAGCCATAGCAGTCCTGAGAGTTTCAAGATAATGCTTCCTTTAGACTTATTACCTCCATCTTCTCTTAACATTCATACCCGGACATTTAAGAAATTAAGATATTTATTAGTTTTTCAGTTTTTATCAAATAATTCAAGAAGGTTCTTCTAGGCAGTTAGAAAATAATCCTGCAAAAATAGAATTCTTAAAAGACTGCTTTTTTTTTCTGTCCTAGCCTTATACCAGTCTACAACTATCATTCTTACTTAGAGACAAAATGACAAACTTTATTAAATAATATAAATGTACATATTCCAACAGCTAAAAGGTTTTATTTCACTTCTCTCCAACCTGTCTGGTAGGTAACCGGTACGTAAACTGAGAGTGACACAGAGATGAGAAGTCGCTAAACAATGTCATGTCTGTATCTACGTGTCTGGTGAATATTGCTGTGTTTCCACAGTGAAAAGACAGGAGAATATCTTCTAATAATATCCAAAGGGCTAGTGAAAGTGCCAGCCCTAACAGGTCATTTCAATCTGACTGCTGCCAACACTACCCCATATTATTAAGTCTTCAAATGAGAAGAGTCTTTCTAGTTCCCATTGCCAGGAAACAGACAAGGCATATGATGTAGAATCCATAAATAGTGAGTTTATCCCAAGTTAAGCTTTGAAGTGATTTTGACTGCTAGAGATACTCAATCTTTAGCCTTTAATAAATTATATTAGTTCACTCTGAACTGTTTGAAATATTCAAGAACAAAGAACTGTTCACCTCAAAATTAAGATATGAATTTTAGCAACAGGTTTTACATGACGGCATGCCTGCTGCTAAACAAGGAGACAAGCACACCCTCATGTATTTCTTATTTGGCTTCAGTCTGAAATTTATTTTGTATTTTGGGTTCTTTATTAACATTTTATATTTTATTTTGTTAACCTCTGCATTAAACACTGTGCCTGGCACAGAGTAGGAAGTGAAATCATGATAAATAAATTGCATTGGGGGGGCGGTGGAAAGATGGCGGAGGAGTAAGACGCGGAGATCACCTTCCTCCCCACAAATACACCAGAAATACATCTACATGTGGAACAACTCCTACAGAACACCTACTGAATGCTGGCAGAAGACCTCAGACCTCCCAAAAGGCAAGAAACTCCCCACGTATCTGGGTAGGGCGAAAGAAAAAATTAATTAAAAACAGAGACAATAGAATAGGGACGGCACCTGCACCAGTGGGAGGGAGCCGTGAAGGAGGAAAGGTCTCCACACACTAGGAAGCCCCTTCGCGGGCAGAGATTGCGTGAGGCGGAGCGGGGAGCTTCGGAGCCGCGGGGGAGAGCACAGCAACAGGGGTGCGGAGGGCAAAGCGGAGAGATTCCCGCACAGAGGATCAGAGCCGACCGGCACTCACCAGCTCGAGAGGCTTGTGTGCTCGCCCCCCGAGGCGGGCGGGGCTGCGAGCTGAGGCTCGGTTTCGGTTTCGGTCGGAGCTCAGGGAGAGGACTGGGGTTGGCGGCTTGAACATAGCCCGAAGGGGTTAGTGCGCCACGGCTAGCCGGGAGGGAGTCCGGGGAAAAGGCTGCACCTGCTGAGGAGGCAAGAGACTTTTTCTTGTGTATGCTTCTATGTAAGATTTTGTCTCTATAACTTTGCTTCCACCATTTGTCCTAAGGTTCTATCCTTCCCTTTTTTTTTTCCTCTAAATAATTATTTTTTTAA